AGCCCCCTTCCCAACACAGCCTGCATCCCAGCAAAGCCAAATCCTACAACTGCAGCCCCCTTCCCAACACAGCCTGCATCCCAGCAAAGCCAAATTCACATCCCCGATGCGTTTTCTGCCTGTGCTGTGTTAATCACACAATAATGCACATATGATGCTGGAAACATGGAATGTAAGCATCCCTCCTGCAGCACTCCTCAGGGAGGATGGGGAAAAAAGGCATCAAATCCTCCACATTTTCAACATTACAGTTTTTGGGCTGTTTTTTTCAGACAGACCATAAAAGCACTTTTAAAAATTCAAAGCCGGCTTTTCTATTACTTGTGCCTCTGYTCAGCTTTGATTTTTTTTTTAATACTTTCTTTTCTTTATGTCTGTGCATGGCTTTTTTTCCCCTTTTATATGGGTAAAATCAGAAGACAATATTAGAGTGCTTTGAAGTCCCTCTGTTATTATAGATTTTTTTTCCCTTAAATCAAGCATAGGTAGACATATACTGCAGTGATAGGCATATTTTAACAAATCAAAACAGTTTTTAAGTTCTGCTGAGCCAGAGATCACAACATTTTCTCCCTTAACTTGCCAAAAGACCTGTTACTATCAAAATGAAAGCTCGCGCCTCCAGTCCAGAAGTGCTTACTCTTACTCCMCCTAATAAGAACAGGTTTGCTGCTGAATTATCTTGAAAAGACAACACTGAAGTTTTCTTTGTTTCAACAGWTTTACCTTATGCCAATTTGGCCATRGAGAATTTCACCTTAAATTTTCATTGTAAGGTCCCTCTTCCTTCCTCCTCAACAATTTGTTGGGAGACTTTTCTGCCTACCCAGAGGTAAGCACCGGATCCTGCAATTTCATCTCCAGATAAATACCAGTGCAAAAGTCACCCTGACCGTGTATGACATGGAAAATGTTTATGGGAAGGAATTTAGACCTTGTGACCAAAAGTCAGTGTGGTTTTGGTAATCACCAACTTGCTTTAGAGAGGTGACTGTGGACACCCATCCTTGGGAATTCACGAACCCGTTAATTCTCTCCATGGCAACATACTGGGACTTGTTGGGGGAAAAACACCTTTGGGAGTATAATAAAGCATGAAAAGGGCCAAGGGTCACAATTATCGAAATCAGACTGAGAGCGTGAAGAGAAAATATCCACCAAAATGAACTGCTTCAACAACCCCAAATGGCTAATTATGTAGGAAGAAAGACATCACACCAAGAATAACCATAATGAGCTTTGATTACACTGCGGCTTTCGCATTTTATTCTTTCAAATACCCACCAAGCTCTTTGAAATTCAAGAGTTCTCTTATGTTAACATCAAAAGGTAAAAGCGCACGGAGGGCTGTGTACTCAGTCACCAYGAGAGATGATTAGCAAATTAAGAGAAAAAAAAAGTCCAGGGTTTAAGCAAAAAGCAGAAAAGAAAAARAAGAAATGAAAAAACAGCACAAAGTGCTAATTACACAGTTTCTGTGCAACACCTGGCTTGTTTTTGCTTCTTTAATCAGGCTCATTTCAGTTATGGCACAGACTCTATATGGTGCCAATGCTGCCTGMGCAGAGGCTTTGTCACCTCCCTGTCTCAGATGTGTCTGAATGCAGACAAGGCAGCGGCACAAGGGGAGGGTGAGAGGTGCTGCCTGCCCAGGACATCACTTCTCTCACCTGTGAGCACTGAAAAATGAAAGGCATCGTAKTCACTCTGCTAATTAATGATCTAAATATTTGATGTGGTATTCAAAGCATTTGCATCAGGAYTCCTGCCAAAGGATGTGTTTTGGTTTGTCAGCAAGAGGTAAATAATTAAAGTTTTCTTATTCCTGCCCTGAGCTCCCCAGCTGCAAGTTTGAAGAATAAATAAATAAAAGCCACTCAGCAGAGCAAATTGGACAGTCTCACCCTCTGCCCAGCAGGTCATCCACATGACAGGATTAGGATTCCCTTGCTAAATCCAGGCTAGTATGAAAAGGATGGAAAGACAGGAAAAAAGAAATTGTGGTTTTGATGGGTTTTTATTGTTTTATTTTAAATGCTTCTGCATTGCTTATTTTCTCCCTTGCTCCTGTCTTCCCACCCCTTGGGTTTACTCACATGGTCCCATCTCATGTAGTATCAGAACTCTCACGATTTTTAGGCACTGAGCCCTGTTGCCTGAAATATGTGAAACTGAACCACGCAGGGATAAGGAACTTGTTGAAAAGTGAATGGTTGAAACAACACAATAGTACTTTCTTTACCTGTGCACAGTAAATAAAAAAAATTAAAAATCTCAAGAGCTACTTTGCTATTCACCATCTCCTCCTTTCTGGCCTCTTCTCCCCTTTTCTATTTCCTTTTTTCATGACACCCATTCCCTACTCCCTGGACTGCTGTACATATTCACAAGGACAGTTGCACACACATTTACAAATGCTGACTTCACCATTTGCAGAAATTTGGGCATTCGATAAATTTACTTTTTCGGGTTTTTTTCCCCCCCTGCTTTACTTCCAGCTGGCAAGTGGTCATGAAACTTTAAAATTAATTCATTATTCAAGACAGTCCAGCAGCTTTTCTCAATAACTCTGACAAAGCAAAATGTTCATAAAGGAACTGCCCCAAACGCTCCCAACGTGACCTGGGTAAGGGGTGCTGTGGAGGCCACGTGTTGCACCTCCTGCCAAGAGCCTGAAACACACTGAGCCTGCAACACAGCTCAGCCTCAGCACCYGGGGAGCACTGAGGCTCTCAAGCAACCCAGGAAAACCTCAGGAATAGCTAAATCCCTCCTGCTCAGCAGGTACATGATCCCTTCTGCACAAGGCGATTCCCTCTGCTGCTGCCTTCAGCAGCTTCCATCTGCCATTCCTCTGTGTTTACACGGGGTTCTGTGGGAAGTGTCCCCTTTGTAGGGACAGTGCCCCGTCATTCACAGCTTTGCAYAAGCCAAGCAATGTCTCTTCCCCATTTCTTGCTCCATGTAAATAACTGAGAACACTGATTCTGCAACGAGGCTGAAAAATCCAACACAGTGGAACTCAGGAAACCAGGTCTGCAATCCAAGATCTTCCACCAGCTAGACAGAGAGCTCTGTTCCTCAGCCTGTCCATCTGGGTTATAGCTCTGTGGAGATGTGCTGGGGAGAACAGGGCAGAAGAGGTGCCCAATTCACTCACCACAATGCTCAAAGCAGTTGGCCACAGCACAAAGCAMTGTCAGGAGGCCAGAGTTTGTTTTGAAAGGCCCAGGAAAATGATCCATGTTGTTACAGCCACTGTGGGACRGAATCATCTGGAAGATCTAATTAAACTTAGGATTTGGCGAGCAAGAGGGAAAAAGCTCCAAGCAGTCAGAAGGCAAAGCAAATTAACCCACAGAGGCTAAAGAGGCAGAGGAGCTCTCAAAGAGGCAGGGATGTGGCAATACGTGCACAGCCACATCTGAGAGAGACAAAGCAGGAACAATGTCACCAGCACAACGTGCCACCAAGGATTAATATTCCTAGGCTTGGCTGGATCAAAGCAAGCCTCTGTGCACTGCACCCAAGAGGTAAACGGGGAACCCTGCACCAAAAGGCCACCTCCAAACCATGGGGACCAGGAAAAGGGAGTCAGCTCAGGAGAGTTCAGGATCTCAGCCCAGGGAGAGGAACAGGAGATGGGGACCCAAGGCTGTCATCTCAATTCCTCACTGCCTGGGCTTGCCTCTGTGGCAWAGCTCAGTGGGATACTTTGTGGGGCTCTGGCACTGTTGGGAGATGAACCYACAAGAAAGAGGGTCAGAAGGGTCCCCAGCTGGGGAAAAGCTCCCAACAGAAAACATGAGCACTGGAATTGCCTTGGCCCACAAGCGAGGAGGAGCAATGCACAGGGGCGAAGCTCTGGTGGAAATCACACAGCAGGTAAAGAAGGCAATAAAGCCAATTAATCAAGGCAAGCAGAAGAAAAGAAGAGGAACAAGGAAGAAAATCTTTTTAACCTGGAAATAAGAAACTTCAAAGGATAGTAATCCAGAGGAAGAAACAAAAATTCAATGWACCTGTATTTCTAACCTTGCATCACAGCAACAAATTGTTCTCTAATGAAGCCAGATACGGGGGATCCAGGCATAAGAGCTGTACCATGGGTTCTAACWTTTCTCATATAACAGCATCACTCATGATCACACCTGGCAGGACAGTCAGGTGCTGAGTTATGRGGAGAAATGAGATTAAAATCAATCCCTGCACAATCCCCTGTGTCTCAGAGGCTAGAGGACTGCACTTGCCACTAGTTACAGCTGGTTCTAGAGAATGGCAAACACATGCCAGGTACTGTAAAGACCGAACAGAAGGCCCAGGACCAAGGAAGTGGTACACAGCACCAAGTATCAATGTCACCCAAGACCCACACACCCTAGAGAGAAAAAGCAGWGACAGATTATTGAGTGTGAGGGAAGGAGACAGAACTGGGCATGGAACCATGAAGCAGAGCTGGAATTCAATTTCAGGACTGTCAAACTCACTTGTGGCCCTTGGACACGCTCACCTGAGGAAGGATGCTGAGAGAAAAGCTCAGTGAGGACCTGACAGTGAATAGGACACAGCTGAACCCTCCCCACAACCAGCAATCCCAGTGGGACCAATGGCAAGAAGTCCCTGGGGATGCCAGGGTTTAAAAGACAAGAYCTGCAGCAGGGCACAGACCTTCACCATGTGCACATGACTGCAGCTGTAAAACAACACTGGCGCAGAGCACAGCACAGCCAAGCTTGCTACAGGGGCACCCCCCAGCCAAGACCTGGACACACCTCACCAGATCTCTCCACAAGGGAACCTGCAGGTTCAAGGCACACGCTGGGATTAAACACTGATTTCCAAAAGCTGCAGTGAAAATGAAGCCTTCAATCTATCCACAACAGCAAAACACAGCCAAGAACAAACTGGCAAATGAAGGAATGGCCACATGCCCAGAGTGCTCCACCGTGTCTGCAGGAGTGCAGGAACCAGCCTTGAAAATCTGCTGTGTGTGTGTGTCATTAGGGCTTCTCAATTAGCAATCCTTTCTGGCACTCCATGGGGCACTGGAGAGGCTCACAGAGCAGCACTGGAGCAGACTGCCATGCAATGATAGCTGTCCCTGGAGGAGCAGAACAAAATGCAGCTGAGTACTSCTACCCAGCTGGATGGAAAAGCTCTTAGCCCAGACTCTGGCTAATCTGCTGGTACTCCCTCAAGAGTTTCCCATGCCAGACCCTAAGGGAGCACAGCTCCTCGCTTTCCTGAGCATCCCACTGCAAAAACTACTTCTCAGGGGCCAAMCTTCACACTGATTTCTCCTGGTCATCGTTTGAGACAGAGCTGGCAGCTCTGCCCCTGGTGCTGTGGTGAGTGCAAACAGATTCTGCCTTTATTCGTGATGACCTCTGGCCCACTGACCCTCTTTTCTGAGACCCCCAGGAGCTCTTACCTTCGAATTGTCCTCAGGAGGGTGGACCTGGCCTCATTGTGGAAGGTGATGACCACGCTGGTGGGAGGGAGGTCCTGGTCATAGTGCAAAGTTGTGCACCTGGGGAGGGACAAAGCAGAAAAGGTCATTCAGGCGCTGCAATTCTAAGTGGAGCTCACTTTGTCAACGCAGACAACAGAATCCATCAGTAAATGGTCCTACCACTATTACAAATAAATAGATAAGAGKTTTTCTGTGTGAATYRTTTCTGAAGGAGTCCAGAAACYGCCAAGGAARTCACCAAGGATTAAAAAAACAAAGMRCTTTACTGTCATTAATGTGRAGGGATGAGAATGGAGCTGGCAGCCCTTTCCTCTAACCAGGRCTATCCCAGCCACYCCCAGTGCTCCTCCCATGCCCTGGGTTGTGACACCAGCAGAGGTAAGAGCATCCTTGCAGCTCCAGCTCCAAGCCACCTCACTCCCAGCCTCCTGAGGCAGCCACTCCCACCAGYCAGCTGCAAGGTAAGCCAAGCCTTGTTTCTAAATTAATTGTTTTCTTATTAATTCTGCCTTAATTGCATAACCAGACTACAGGGAAGACTGGGATTTACAGCTTTCCAAGCCAGTCTTGCAGAAGGCAAAAGCCCACAGCTGCAACCACRGCCCCTGCTGCCTCCTTCCCAGGAGGAAATGTCACAGACTCTGTAATTACTTTGACCTTTAGCTGATTAAATTTGTGGCTTTTATAGACCGACACCAACATATTCCTAGCTCAGAAAATCCAGATACCTCTTACATCCGTGCTGCCCTTTCTGGGTCCCTATCAGTCCCTTAGGATGGTTTTAAGATGACACAACAGTAGCTCCCCTTCACAGCCATCACGTCCCTTCCCATCCATGTGCCACTTGTCTGCCCTTGTGCCACTGCCCCGGTGCTACCACTCCCATCCTCAAACGAGGACTGAGCAACCACTCTTCCAGCAATCCATCAGTTTGCTCCCCCAAAGTTCTGGGCCACAGCATCTGGGATCAAAGTATCAAAGCATCTGCAAGGTGAAGTAAAAACAGATGGAAAAATTAAGTTGGGGATGGAAAGGAGAAAGCACGTAAGAGCAGCCAGATATTGTTGTTTATGCTATTAAGACCAGCACGTTGCACCTCTGAAATGCCAAAATGCTCCAGATACTATTTAGGGAGGTTTTCTGTACTTCAATTTTGAAATTACATTTCTGATTATTTACAAAGTGAACWAAATTAAAGGAAACAAGAGTGCACAACAGGAGAAACAATTCCAAAGATAAGAAAACAATGGTATCTTAGATGGGACAAAGTATTTGCAAGCTCATGCTAAATTAGTTGCTGCTTACTCTCACTGTTTCACTCGAAACCCTTTCTAAATCCTGCTTCAACTTGACCAAAAGCAGGTTTCTCATTACTCCCCTRTTCTTTCAGCACAGTCATCAACACCAGAAATTCACCTTCGAGGCAATTCTAATTCTGGGTCCATCCCCRAAGGACGCCAAAGTGGCACAGCTGTTCCATATGCAGGAGAAAGTTCAGCAACATTGCCCTGTGCGACAACACCCTCATCCATCAAAACTGCATCTCAGGGATGCTGAAAACAGAGGGTTTCTGAATTATGAAACAGCACCAGGTCATGCCCTGAGCTGCTCCTCTGGGTCACTGCAGGCTCTTGCATTGCCCCGTACCCAGCTCCAGCCTTCCCAAAYGGAGAGGATGAGAAAGAAGCTGCTGCTCAATCTCGCCACGCTCAGGCTCAGCTCCYGTTCTCTCTGCAGAGCTGCAGGGACAGACTATGGCAACTGCTCTCCCTGAGCTATTTATACCCCGCTCCCAGATGCGTGTCCTTCCACCCACTTCCAGCAGGGCTCTGTGGAGCAAACATGGGGAGCTATTTCGGGAAAAGAATGAGAGAGTGGAAAATACAAAGTCATCAATACTTTATTTATGCTACTACAGCAGCCAAGGAGCTGGTAAATAAAGCAGCAGCTGGGYGTGTCTGTGCCTCCCACGGGCTGGGGATGCTGCAGGCTGCCTGAGCCTCCCCATCAGCAACAACTTGCTTTGCTTTTAAAACTCCAGATGTTGGTGCACCAGGTTGGCCCAACCAGGCAATGTGCCWTTGGGATACACTGGAATGTCACACACGGGCACCTCCAGAGCTGCAGCTCACCCCTGGCTTCTGTCTARTGAGGCTGATCACATCCCAAGGGTAGGAATGATGCTGTCATGGATCCCCAGCCCTGCTTTGCCTCTGTGACCAGCACCATGGCACAGCTGGGACTTGCGTCTCCAAAACCAGCCTGGAAAGGGGAAGGCAGAGCTGCTGCATCTGCCAGGGCTCCTCTTCCCGGTTCCCTTGTGGCCCTGACTCTTCTCTTGGACAGGATTTTACCCCTGGGTTCCTCTTTCAGGAGCCCTCCCAAAGTTTCCTCCACTTGCTCCAGTTTTTGTTTTCCCTTGCTCCCCCAATGTAAATGCAGCTAAACACCCTGGGTCCCCGGAAGGCAGATTTCAGTTTAAGTTKTTGACTACGAGTGTCTTTTTTGGCACTTACTAGGGTAATAAAAACCACAGCTTGGAAAAGCATTAAATCCAGCATGTCCAGAATTATTTTGTGTGACAATTACATCTGGGGTAATTTCAATTTAATACCTCACTGCAAGTGAAAATTGCAGCATGCAGCCCTAAAATTGCTGTAATAATGAAAATAAACCCGCTAAAAGCTGCCTGTGCTACCTCAGGCTGTCACTGGATACAACATTTTGTGCTGCTGATGGTATTTCATAGGTCACCCAATTGCCAACAAAAAAAAAAGAAAAAAACAAAACCAAAAACAACACCCACAACATTTTCAGGAAACCAATGGAAATTTGAGGAGTTTTTTTAGACTCTTAAAAAAAAAAACTGAAAAAAACAGTAGTTACTGCACTGCCTGTACTTGCAGTGGGTTGAAATGGCCAAAGCCATTCAAAGTTTGATGCTTTGAAACCTTGCAAGGAGCAATCCTTGCACAGGAAGTGCTAGCAGGAATGCTGCAAGGCATCCTGGGGGGGCTGAAAGAAGACAGAAGCCAGGCTGGCCTGCCCTAAAAACCCTAGAGAGAGCATCCAGATGGAGAACAATTCTTATTTTCTCATGCAAGAATTCAAATTTCATTTTACGGGAAGAGTAATTTCCTTGTTTTAAAGTTCATTCCCATTCAAAATGGAAATTATTTCAGAATCAGAAGGTTCTGAAAGGGGTGGTCTGGCTACAAACACCTTAGGAATCAACCTCAGAAAATTCCAGCCTGGACTGGTTGCCTGTCATAATTCCTTCAGAGTGGACAGAGCAGCACATCTCATCCTCATGTTCCCAATATGCCCTTAACAGCTCAGGAACAAATTATGGAGCACCTGTTTGTGGGGCAGGGAGCAGACAGCCAGAACCCTGCACTCGCTGTAGGAATTGCAAAGCTCTCCCGCCAAGTCCCAAACTTTGGACACTCCAGCACTGTCCCCAGGACTATGGAGTCCCTTACTCAAGACTTATTCCATGAGTTCCTTTGGCCTTTGTGCTCCTGATGAGCAGTGTGGTATCACAGACAGGTGGTCTCTGCACACAGCTGTCCCTGCATCCTGAGAGATCCTCCTGAYGGGACAGCACACACCCACCCCCTGGGAATCTGAACCCATTTTGTGTTTAAAATGCCAAACTTCACTCAAAGTGCCCGTCACCAAAGCAAACCCTCCCTGCCAGCAGAGCTGCACAGCACAGTGGTGGAGACTGACAGTGTGAACAGAGATGGACCCTGTTCCACGACTTCTCCTGGTGCCCCCAGGCTCATCCAAGGTCACACCACACACCCACAGAGCTGTGTGTGCCTCTCAAAACCTACCTCTGACATTCACCCTCTCATCAACTTCCTTCAAAAAATGGTTATTGTCACCCCCAYTCCCCCAGATACCCCCTCTGCTCATTCCTCTGTTCTACCTCAGCAGCCATCGCTGCCAACAACTCTGCTCTGAATTTTTAATGTTTTCCACTAAGTCCAAACTCTCCCTCACCACAGCTCACCACCTCCAAAGCATTCTCTGAATAATCATTTCAGCTGCATCAGGGAAAGCTACACCATCTTTCACCTCCCTCCTGGCTCCTCTCTTCTCCTTGGAAACACACAGGAGAGCAGTCTCGTCACCACATGAAGGGAAAGGGGAAGGAGAAAGGAAAAGGAAAAAGGAAACAGGAAAAAGGAAAAAAAGGAAAAGGGAAAAGGAAAAAGGAGAAAGGAGAAAGGAAAATATTAGAGCCCCAGCTGTCCTGGCCAGTAGCAAACATAYCCAGGCTCTGCACACCTGTAGGGACAGATGGCAGGACATGCAGGCAGCTTGGTCACACCTCTCAGGACAGCCCCTCAGGGTGRCATGCATAGTGTGGAAAACCACAGTGTGCCTAAATCCTGTCTTTGAGCTGAAGCAAAATTCATAGAGCCATAAAAACAGAATGATTTGGGTTGGAAGGGATCTTAGAGATCATCTAGTTCCAACCCCCTGCCTTGGGAAGGGACACTTTGCACTAGACCAGATCGCTCTAAATCCCATCCAACTTGGAAAACTTCCAGGGATGTGGCATTCCACAGCTTCTCTGGGCAACCTGTTCCAGTGCCTCATCACCCTCACAGTAAAGAATTTCTTCCCAACGACTAACCTAGGATACTTCCATGAAAATACTCTGAAAACAGAAGCCTTGGACACAGTATGATATAGTGCTGTAAAGCAATGTATGTGCCAACTCATATGGAATCTAGTAAGTGCCTAGAGCTTACTGCTGGACAGGACTGTGCACCACCTCAGCTGACCTCTGGGAAACACAATCTCTGGCATTTTCCCCAGTTATTTCTGTATTTCTCAGTTATCCGTGCATTAAATCCAGTGACTTGTGCCTGACTGCAGACTACCTTTCCAAAAATCATTACCTGATGACCTCCAGAGATGGAAAATGCAAGAAGTGCTGTACACCTTACAGCCAAGGCATGAGTCTCATACAACAGTATAACTGGGATAGAACAATCCAGAATTTGCTTGAACAGAGCACGTAGGTGGGATCAGTGATCTTC